TACCTCCACTGCTGGATCCTTCAGGGAAGGACTCCTCCCTGTGTGTCCACAGCCTCTGGTAACATTTCTTGCAACAGCACATTTTTGGCAGGCATTTAATTGGTTAATTGAAAACTACCTACCACCCATTCCTTACGCCCCTCTTCACAGTAGACATTTCCATGTTTACCTCTCGGTAACCAGTACGAGCATCTATTGTCCCAGGTGTAGGGGTGAGTTCTAAGGGTTGAGGGCAAGAGACACAGTCTCCTCTCTCGGGGTCACTGCCCCGGGTGGCTTTCGTACAACCTGGGGAATGGCCACGTTCTTGTGGCCTGCCCGAGTGCTCAGCGTGAGAAATCGCATCTGTCTTGAATCAATGTTTACTCCCTGTTCTCTTCGACATAAGACACACAGCTCTTTCTAATATCACTTTCCTCGCCTATGACGTGGACACTTGCTGGTCATGTGGACTCAGGCAAGTTATTTGATCTCCCTGAGCCTCAGTTTTCCAAAATTCAAAATGGGGATAAGACCTGTGGCCAAAGAGTAAATGCTCTGAGGACGGTGAGCCTGATGTCAGCCAGGGTCTCTCTGCCCCTTAAAATCAGATACAGTGGATCAACAATGCTGATAACAACGGGAACCCCAAACCTCCTCTAAGGCTTCTCAAGATTCCCCGAGAGCTTAATTTTCATGCTGACATTGGCGTTGATTTCTTTCTAAATATTTTGTTTCTGCCGAAATATTTTGCTCCGTCTTTGCTTTTTGCGGTTATGCCTTCATAGCCGCTGTTTTCCCAAACTGCGAAAGTGGCCCGGTCGGCCTCCACCGCCTCCTTCACGGCCGCCTGAGCGCAGACCTGCGGGCGAGGCCGAGTCTTCCCGGAGGGCTGTGCAGCGCCGAGGCGATCGCAGGGTTTATTAATATTCCCACTTGTCCTCGGAGGCCAGGCTGCCCCGCTGAGCTCTTGCTTCCCACAACTTTTCCAGCTCCGCTCTGTCCCCGTTTCCTCCCCTCACGTTCCTCCTGTGCCCTCACGGGAGCAACGGAAACTAGGTGTTCTGCATTTTCTTACCCAGAGCGCCCTCGTTACACGTTACTGCAGCTGAAGCTTCTGCAACACTGGCCTGTAGGGCCTCCCCTGCTGCTTCAGAGGCTTATCAAGAAGAGGCAGTTTCCCCCAATTTGGATTTGGATGTCAATTAAGATCATTGGATGCCAACAAAAATAAGTTTAAGATAACAAACTTAAAAGAATCTGTCACCCTACTATTATCGTCATGATGGCTGCTACAGCTGCTAGAACTTCCAGAGTTGGAAACACAAACACTAGATCTGTTGCCTGGACTAAGCTTTGTACCAAGATGCTAAGGAAAAGCTTAGTTCCAATGAGGCCTTTCAGAGTCACGCAGGGAAGGAAGGCTTTAGCTCATGAAATGCTGGGAGGCCACCAGATGCGACAGGACTGCCAAGGACCACGGGAAGTGAAGCTCTCTCTACTTCTGCTGATGACCTCCTTGACCTTGTCATGGTTGTATGTGGTTTGGTGGTGGCAGCTTTTCTTTCCTGAGTGGGACAGGTGAACAGAAGGAAGAACCAAATTGCTGCAGTCAAGAGAGAGAAATTTTAGAAGAACTTGAGAGAAAATGGGAAATAAAGAGACGGGTCAGCTGGCAGAAAGTGGGAACTCTGAGGGGAAGATATAGCTGTCTAAAGGGTAACTTTATTAGTTTTCCACAGTAGGATTTGGGTATGAAGCCACCTTCTAGTCTCATCTGTTTCTCATTAAATCATATGGAGCTGGGTCTGTCTCAGGCACATGTCAAAGAACAGAGCACAGGACTAAGGAGGCCGAGAGGTTCAAGCTGGGGTCACACATGGGACGTGTGTGACACTAGGGGGACAAATTTTCCTTATCAGGGCCAAGGTTATAAAAGTAAATCTTAATTTAATAAAATACATATTCGCAAAATTAAAATAATGTAGCCAAACAAATTTGGTGAACAAATCCAGAGAAAGAGATAATTCTGTGTTTCTTAGACCCTGTCAGTTTCACAAAGGCTAGTAGTCTTGGTTATTCCCTTAATCTGGAGCACAACTGTGTGAGTAAGGTAATGGCATCCCCATTTCGTCAATAAATCTGAAATTCAGGCTGATGACCTCAGGGTCACACCACAGAGCAGAGGCAGGATTCCAGGGGAGTGGGTCTGGCTCCCCAGCTCACGCCTTTCCACCTGACCCCAGCTAGTGGGCAGGGATCAGGCTGACCCCAGGTGAGAGTGAGCACTGGGTTCCTAGTTGAACGCAAGTGAAGTACCCTCTGGTTTCAACCTAGAGAGAAGGCCTCAGACCTGCTTGTGCTCAAGCCCTTGCTGAGATCCAGAGTCCTACACTAGAAAGCATGAACAGCAAGATGGGGGGGGGG